GGCGAGGCCTCGCCGGGTCTGACGATAGCTACCTAGACGATTGCCTTAAACACAATATTTCCCTAGAGGTGCACCATGGAGAAATCTCAACAAATGTTGCTCGAGCTGCGTGAATCGACTGCCTCAAGCCAGTTTAGATGTAGAGATAGAAGGGCAGATTTGTGGGATCGAGCAGGAGGTATTTGAATGTGCCAGTAGTGGCAGCCTCACGCTCCACGATCCGCTTGCTGATGACCCGGAGTCTCTGACGGAGGGCAAGGGCTGCCTTCGCGGTAGGTTTATCTTCTGTGTCTGACAAATAAATGTTAGTCAGCCGGTTCGGCTTCTGCAGCAGAGGATAGAATTCGAATGCAAGGGCCTGCGTGCCAAGGAAGAAAGCCAGAGGGTTCCCAATGTCCATTGTCGTGAAGTCAGGCACGAAATTAGCGGTGGACGCTGCCTGCGCGGTCGACAAGCTGGATCCCTACAAGCCGGATCCCGAGATGAAGTTTTGCTGCACCTGATCATCTGTCAGTGTGCCCGTGCTAGCGGGCAGAGGGGACAGGATCTTTCCCGGATGAGACGGATAGACCAAGTCGAAGTTCAAGATGCGGAAGGAGTTGAGAGCGTGATGCTCGACCCCTGAGATCCACAAGATCTGGGCAAGAAGCTCGCTCACGTCCTTCAGATTCCTCACTTGTGCTCCAGTAGGGAACCCGTTGAGGAAGGCGATCGTGTCGGACGAGTTGGTGAGAGCGCCGAGGAAATTCTGCAGCTCCGGATCACCCTGCACAGACCCGCGCTTCCTGTACGAACCCGCCAGGTACTTCCTGGTGTAGGTGCGCAAAGCATCAGAGATGGTCTCCCCATCATCGCGATACAAGAAGCCCGGGATGTCCATGACACCGCGTGCTTGAAGATTATCCTTGATGTTTGTGGATTGCCAGTCAAAACGCTCCATGAGATAGGGGAACAACAAGCTTTGGATGGAGGCCCCACTCAGAGAAAGATAAGTGTCAAAGGCTCCAAACGGCTCCAGCAATAATAGTACACCCGAGAAAATGATTCCGAAATTAAGGTTGGCTGCGTGTTGAATCGGCGGATAAAGCGGGTGCTCGCTGGCCAGTGTCTTCTGCGCCGCAATCGCCACGTTGGCAATGACCGTGTGCAAGACAAAATGATAAATGGCGTTTACATCCCGATCGAGGCAATTGAACACTGCCTTGGCCAGGAACCAATCGGGGTGGGGATCTTGCGGAGACACTACATATGTCTGCTGGACGTTGTACTTGATCGCCAACGGCATCAGAGCCGGGTCATTCTTCCTAGGCTTGCCCCACTTGCGCCTTTTCGGGATGGGCCCGTTCACGAAGAAGAAGGCCGTCGGGGCCTCCAAGAAGGCATCAGGAGAGGCCTCGAGGACCCCTGCTTGGTACAACGGGTAGTAGTCGACGGTGAAGAGACGCCCTTGCGCGACCAGACTGGATAAGGATACGCCACCGGTGATGGTGTCATAGCCCGTTACGTCTGCTTGCGTGAAAGGAATGTCACCCACGCTGTTTACGCGCGTGATAAATGCAGGAGAGGATGTGATGCGCTCCCGGGCGAAAGCATAGTCGGAATCGTAGAACCTGTATGCCGCAGGCTGATATTGGGGGGCAAGGGAATCGTAGAGAGGCAAATAGCTATCGAGAGTATTCAGGCACTCACCCGACGCGCTTATGGCCAGGCACGTCGCATTGATGGGACCTTCTAGAACCTCTTTCCCGACTTCCTCAGAGACTTCCAGCTGGCCTATGATTGCAGCGCTTTGTGAAGCGAGGGAGGCGTCACCCAAAGTGCCTCCGGGAGCTGCCATTGTTAGGTTGGCCAAGCCAGGATCTATGGAAGCATAGGGCACAAACTCCCAGAAGGGAGCTCGGTAGCTCAGGCGGCGAGCACGGCTTGCCGGGTCAGGATCGTCCTGAGGAATTGAAAGGAAGCCTTTCTTTTCTTCATCTTGGAAAAGCGTTCGGGTCGTCTGGCTTTGCCCCGAGTTCGAAACCTCTTCATTCAGGTGAGAAGAGTATTTGGCAGAGCTCAGCTGCCTTGTCACTGAGAGCAGTATCAGAATGCAATGAGCCACGCGCATGATCTGTCGGCCGTAAGGAAGCGTTGAAAGACCGTTTTATGAGATGATTCGGGGTTGAATGAAGACCAGAGCAGTAAGTCTCGTCTGGATAGCGTGCATGCAAGCAAAGAGCAGCGTTGAACTGGTTTCTCAGCATGATAGACGATTAAGTTGATCACAAAGAGCGATCTGCTGTTTTAGCCGTATATTGGGCAAGATTTGACAGGCGACCCGGACAGCTAGCCGAAATAAACGGCCTATCCGTTACAACCGTTGGATACAGTTGGGTTTTGAAAAAAAGAATGAATCAGCATTTGTATGGCCAGTCGAGCGATCATTCCCATGCCATATTTGTCAATATAACCATGAGCACAATGAGATTGAAGTAAAGCCAATGATCTTGTATTCTTATAACATGAGACTTCTTTGCGCAATAAAAAGGTTTTTATTGAAATAGTTGATGTGTGCAAGCAGCTCTGTTTTAAACCCCGCACGCTGTACTTACTGCACAACTACATCTACTTCTTTCTTAGCAGCCGAAAGTAAATCCTGACAATATAGTGTAATGTAGGCTTTTGGGAAACACTCATACCACTATATCTTCTTGATACTGCTCTTCGCGAGATTCTATCTTTCTTTCTTATTCGTTCCTCCTCATGATCTCAAGGCGATTAGGTCGACGGGCCATCAAAGCTGGTCGCACGTCATTTCGGGCATCACAAATTGCCTACATCCTTCAAAATAATGACTGGGCAGGAGGATATGAGCCTGTGTTGTGATGTGTCAGGTGAAGAAAGGTCTTAGTCGGCTTCGACCTGGTACAACAAAAGCAGTGAAACATGATTTCAAAGGGCATCAATTTGAAAGTATTTGAATGGCCAGTCCAGCATTTTCTCTGCTATGTAGGCGAGACGATTTCGATGTAGTATAAAGTAAAATCAAAGCCAATTGCCTAGGCTTCTTTTCGCATAAAAAAGCTTGTTACCTCAAATTGTTGACGTTTGCAAGCAGTTTTGTTGTGTACAAACACATCGTACTATTCACCTACTTTACATTCTTCCTGGCAGTAAAAAGTTAAATTGAATGATTTCAACGTGTTGAGACCTCTCGTTACCCAAATAACAATAGTGTTTATAATAAAATGATGATCCTTTCTTTCATGACGCGAATCCTATCTTTCCTCCTTTTTGTTCCTCCCCATAAGCCAGCCCGAATGATAAGGTTGGACGTTCATCGAAGACCATAATCATATTTGGCACGGAAAGTGACTGATCGAGCCAAAAGTGGCCTGAGAAATATGGGGCTGAATTATACATATCAGATTATTTGGTCGACCTGTTATTAGAGCCTCCCTGCTGTTCTTGTTGATTTTCAATTTCAATTCGCTATTCAAATCCACATCATAATCTTAAACATCGATCGTCCCTTTAACTGTCCAGAGAAATGATTACAAGGGAGAATGCAACTGATAGGAGGATCCATAAAGCATCGTCAGGTCGGTTACGGTCATTCGATATGACATCGCACAACAGCATCACCCTTTGGATATGAAAGAGCTATATTCAAGGAAATGGAAAGGATTGAAAAAGCTCTTCAATGCCATTATCGTAGCAGCCTCTGGTGTTTTGCAAGCACTGGGTGAGTTATATTTCATTCAGCATGTTCATCAATCCTGTCTACTCATGCACTTGGAAACGTAAAGCTAATGATTCCAACGTTACTTCACCCATATAGATCCTTTCTCTGGCTTGATTGATGCTCTCTCTCATTTGCCCTCGAAATCTTTGTTTTTTCCTTCCGTCACGTCCTTGTTCTTCACTCTCAAGAAATCGTTATTCTTGTCGTACTCCATGCTGCTTGGAGCGTCCTGTGTCTGAAATCTTTGATCCGATTCCCGTAAATCCATCCCTACCTCAAGACCCCCTATCCCCCGCCAAATTGGGCTTACTCACGAAAGCCGACCCCTCTGCTACACATATTTTTCCATCTTTCTCGTATATTCCATGCAACACATACGCCCACCTCCTCGTTTCACGAAGCTCCCAGCTTCCAGTGCTCACTTGGGCAAGTGCCTGGTCAATTTCTAGTTCATGATAACGCCATTCCTATTTACGCCGCGGAGTTAAAGCCTACTCTGCGGGCAAAGAGACAGGTCCGGGAAACTCTGACGCTTGTGATGATTTCCACGCGGAGTCGGTGCGGTGTGGACATGACGGTTGGAGGTGGAGAGGAGCATCTGTGGATGAATAGAATGGATATAGGGGGTTTCAAGACACCTTGGTTTATAAATTTGCAGGCAAACCTGTCACAGCCTAGAAACACATCTAGTCTGTCTATCCCCGCATCCACTGTTCTACCAATCTATGTACGCAGTACAAGACGAATATGGAAGGAATACGGACATTGGATCCCAATGCGTATAAGCAACTTGCAGTATTATTCTTATCACGCCAACATTTTCGACTGAAAATCACAGCCATCTCCTTCCGCGCAATCCGGCAACCTGGCACCGTCAGATCCCGCTCCTCGTCCCCACCCCTGCCCCATTGGGAAGCGGGAGGGCGCCCTTTCCCTCCCCTTCCACCCTCCCTCCTCCCCGCTTACCTGCCGTTTCGTGGCCACGGGTACGTCCAGGACTGGCGAAGCGTCGAAGAAACCAAAAGGCTGAAAGGAGAAAGGAATAAGGGAGGGAAATGGTGAGCTTCCTGATAGCTTTCCTTTCAGACAGAAATATTGCGGAAAAACAAACGTGGGTATGGATGGCCATCGCGTCGGAGTGAGAGATAGGAAGACAAGAGGGAAGGACGGCGGAAGAGAGGCGCACCGAAAAAGGCCGAGGAAAGACGGAAAGGAAAAAAAGCCGAGGAAAGACGGAAACGAGGATATCATCCAACTGGACAGTCAAAGAGGGAAGGGGCATTGGATTGAAGCGTCAAACGCGGAAGGAAGGGAGGCAGGGAGAGAGGAAGCGAAGATGAAAGAGGGGAGGCCAGAGGATTCAACTACCTTGGCCATTCTCCCTGGCGACCTGTCACAGGGCAAGGTACCCAAGTCGTACCCCTGGCTGCCCTCCCTCCCTCCCTCCCTCCCTCCCCACCTTGAAGACGCAGGAGACCTTCTCGAAGGGCATGACCGGCCAGTCCTCCAAGCGAGGGACGTGATGGGCCCCAAACACGTGCCACAGCACCACGTCTTTGTCCACCAAGGGTCTGGAAGAAGGGGAGAAGGAGGAGTCGGAGGGGGGAGATGAGGAATGCTGGGAGGATCATACATAGGGATGAGACAGAGTGGAGGGGGAAAACTTGTGGTGGGAAAGATCAGATGTGGAGGCGTTTGTAAGGGGGATGATGGGGACGGTCTCAAAGCCATAAAGGCTAAGCAGTG